GTGCATCGATAAACGTGGATAAACGTTCAATTAAAGATCGCGGGAAACGTATCATTTACATAATGACGCGTACAAATGAAGTAGAACGCTGCGCGTGCAATGGCCCCATTATTCGGGACGACTGTCAACGGTCCGTTACGCTTAATACCGATTGCCGGATACGATAGGCCACGCAAAGTTCGTGTTTCGTTTAAACAAATTGAAATGTTACATTTATTCAGACGTTTTCTTAACACGTTATCAATCAATGGTGAAGATCTCCCATTTGACAATACATTGTCGTATAATTTCTTAACTTTCCTCTTTCATTTTTTACATTTTGTTTATAATCAAGTTATATAAAATAAAAAATTATTACTATTAAATCATTACGAATCATATAAAATAACTTTTACCCTTAGTCTATTAAAGAGATAATAAATTAAGATGTCGTGGAAATCGAAAATTGCCGCCAATCAAGAACATTGTAGCCAACCTACAGTTATTGCATACAAAATTTGACATTTACGAATATATCCAACGGTCGTGGCGCATTCACGTTTCAAACAAATTAGTGCCGTGTAACGTGAACGAGTTCAGCGACCTTTGATATCAGTCAAGTTTCATTACCAGTAATCTCCGGTCATTGTAACGCATAGGTTGGCAACCCTAGTGGAGGAACTGCGGTGGCGTCGATAGAAGCCAATTTCCTCGTTCGGTGTTTCTCTTTTCTCTTTCTTTTCAAGGTAGAAGGGAGATAATGCGATTGAACGGTGTCTTGTTTTTGTTCTGTTGCAGCGCTGGGCAGAAACCCGCAAGAATCGAGCCTGATGTCCATATGGTCGACGAGCACTGGACGCAATTCAGTGTTTGGCGCGGAGGGCGGAGCGGTACTCCCCTCCACCCAGTTGCCGATCCACGTACACGTGGCTCGCACACATCTGCGCAACGTTGACGGCCACTGCTTCCACAAGCGGTTCCACGACTGTCAGGTCGGTAGCCTTCCCTTATTCTTCCCGTTGTCTTCGTTTCGCGGACTGTTTGTCACTTCGCAATGTGTACTGCTTCGACTGCCGCGTTACATCGGTGACAATCTGGGTGACACAATTCCTTGTCCGGACTTAGCCCTTGACTACTGCAGAACGTCTATGACTGGCAGATCGTTTGATAGCTAGACTGAAGAATGCGGATTTGATTGATCAGTTTTCATTTTTTTCATTCAATATTTTGTTGGTTCTGTTTAGTGAATAAAAATAGTTATACTTTAGACAACAGGTAATAAAATAATACTTTATAATACAGAATTTATTTTTCTTTTGTCACTTTGGAGGCTAAAGTGATTATTAAATGATTTCATTTAGAAGTTACTTTTTCTACAAATCGCCAGATGGCTCGTCATTGTTAACTACTAATACTTCTTATTATAAATTTTGTCTTGCCCCTGTGCTAGAAATTAAGTCTAGACATCAGGTCATCTCCCAAGAGTGCAAAACCGTTAAAAATTTTTATTGATTCCCGTTCCTGCTTGGTTCATTATTTTCCCATGCTACGTAGTTTTTAATTATAGTCTAATATTCACTGACTAAACTAAACAAATAACCACGATGAAAATTAATCATAACAGTTGCTCAAGTTTAGATATCTACAGTACTTAAGGGTTAAAGGTTCGTTTTCACGGTGATGCATAGATTGAATTAAATTTTGTTAGTACCTATGAGACACAAAATGGTTGGGAAGGATTTTTCAAATTTTTGAAAACTTGAGAGTGAAAGCACAACGAACACGACAGCGTATCAAGTCACGTGACTGGCCTCTTATAGGTTCATTTTGCACCAATTGGAGCAAACGGATGATGACCCTTTAATCCTTATAAGCGGAACGGTGTTTCGAATGCTGCCCACGCTTTTTCAATGAACTGCATACACCGAAAAGGTCAGGTGTTTTATGATTTGCAGTGATATTACACTGAACAAACAATAAATACACATGAAAGTTGCAAAGTTTTCAACTGTTATCAAATCTGCGCCAACATGCAATATTTATTTGGACAAGTAAAGGAGGAATTCTGAAATCCATTCTGATTGATGAAATTCATGTTCAATATTACATATAATTCACAAGACGAGTATAATAATAAAGAACAATAACCAGAATAGCCAATTTTTAACCAGTTAGCTGTGATTGGCGAGTATACTCGTCGCGCGGAAGAAATAGTTACCACTTGAAATTGAAATTGAAATTGAAATCGTAATTGTAATTTTACAATGATAATAACAAATAAAAAAATATAGATAATTATTCTGAGAAAAACTGTATACAGTGTGAATTTAAACACACACTTTTCACAGGGGTGACCACAGCTAACTGGTTAATCGAAACTCGACGTCGAAACGGTCAATCGATTAATGCCAGTTTATTGCTCGATAAATCAAGATCAAGGAAGGGAATTGGATCCGAACGCTCGCGCGCTGATAGGCGTATCGTGCCGCGTAAGCGTTCGTGTTTGTTTCCCGCGCAGCCAACCGACGCGACGGTAAATTAAATTTTACCTGTTTCCCGCGGAACCCGGATCGCCTCGGATAAAATCAATCCGGATTGTTTAAACTGCACTACTGGGTTCGCTAATGATATCCGGCGCAATGTGTGTATCCCGTGATCACAAATCGGTTAATTATCTCTCCTTAACAACTTCTCGATTCGCTTACATAAAGCGTCGCGGGAAATACAGGAAATATTGCGGCCATTATGGTAGCGGTGCTTGGCACGCGATGGATTGTATATAACCGATGACAAATGTTACTCAACGGACGTGATAGCAACAGCATCCTCGTGTTGCAACGATAATAACGTAAATCTATTGTAATATAAGATAAAAATGCAAGATAGACTTTTATAAATAAAAAATGGTTTAAAACTGTTATTTGCGAAAATTTGTTAATCACACGTGTGAAATATATTTATCTATAATTATCATGTCATTATAATATTATTATAATAGTATTATTATCATTATATCATACGATACAGTAAAATATGTTCATAGGTTAAACAAAATATTCATTGATGCAAAAGACCTACATAAATCAAATTATTATGGAACCATTTGAAGGCAACCTTAAATTCTCCCATGGTTCTCACAATGGTGTTCACTCTCTTAGACGCACAGGCGTGCCACAAGTGACTTCTTCCCTAGATTAGAGGAAGGAAGAATATTCCTCGCCTACATTAACAAATTCCTCAACTCTTCAGTTTGATTAATCAACCACAAATATTCAAACGAGCTCACGAAAGAAGGAAACAGAATTTACTGGATGTAGAAACAAGATATAGAAAAGTAAACTTTTATTTCCGTTGTTTTCGCGGTGTCAGTAATGTTTGCCATTATGTTATGTTGATAGACTGATGGAGGATAACTGGACGTTCGTATTTTCGCTCTCAGTCGCCCGATCCTTTCGCAGAGACGCGTCGATGTATCCCGGTACTGGGAACCTCTTCCCGATAGATCCACGCTAGGTCTCGCGTGTAAAACTTCACATTTCGTTCAGCGCCCGTTGCCATCCACATTCTCTTCGGGTACGTGGCTGTCTCTTATTTTTACGTGCTTACGCATACTACGGTGTGTCCGACCGCCAATTACCAAGTCACACCAACATCAACGAACACGCGATTCATCTGGACACGATTTTTTCTTTGTTCTCTTATTCTTTCATTTGTGTTTCGTTTCTCTGATTTTTTTTCAATTATTTTTCTGTTCTTTTTGGCCTGTTATTTTGCCAACGAACGATTTCGCAAATGTGACCGTTGTCGTTGTATCGCGCCATTGAACGGCGGCGGGACTAACGGATACGTTGATATTTGTTTTAATTAGCGCCGGACGATATGCGATATTGCGTAATCGGCGCTTCCATGACAGGCGTCGAGCAGTGTCGCGCGAACGCAAAAATTTTAGGACAGGAAGTTCGAACGTGTGCTGTGAACTGGAGAACACGTTGTTCCGAAACTGTATTTTTGCTGTACAGGGTGTTCCATCGTGAACAACCTACTATGGAACGTATTAACATCGGAATGATTTTCTACAGATTAATAATTAATAATTAATTATTTATCTATAGATTAATCGTTAATGATTAGGCTTGTGATAATTCAGAGCGACAAGCGTCGAAAGTTGTAGATAACTTTAAATTTCATTTTCTCAATGAAATATGAATAATGAAAATATATAAATATAATTGAATATACTTTTTAATAAAATGATGTTCCTCTGTATGTAATGATAATAATGATGTTCCTCAGTTCTCGCTGAACTGAGTAATATTCTATGAAAATATTTTGCAAAATTTTGTACTTATCACGGATTACAACGGTTTGAATAGCTTATATTGAAACACCCTGTACGTAGAACCCCCGGCTTTCGTCCGGAACAGAGATATTAAACATTCAACGTGTCGACAAGAATGTTCGAATGTTCTTCGAATAGAGTCGTAAAGCGTCTCGCAAATTGTTCTGTTGATTCAAGACGGATTAGCCAGCGTTATCGGTTGCACCACTTGATAATCTGAATCACTGGAGCTTAATTGGATCGCGTAACCGGCTACTGTGCTCATGGGAAACCGAGAGCTGCCTCGCTATAAGCAGGGCTGGGCAAAATGTAATCTGATTACAGATTATTGATGATTAAAATGTGATGGTAACTTACAAACGACTCAAGAATTGCATTTTAATCTTCTGCCTCGACACTTTACCAGCTTGTTAACTATTTGCAATCAAAAGTTTTTCACTAGAAGGATTGAACATCTTCTGATGAGATACAGATGACATTTTTTCAAACTAACTTGACGAGAAATTACATATAAATTACGGAACGAGGCTAGTTCATGTTAATGTTTTACGTATTGATACATTTTATCTTAGCAATTCGTTTATTATGGTACTAATAATATTAATTATAGTATTAATAGTATTAATAAAATAATAGTAAGTTATTTTAGCTTAGTCTTCAAAGCTTGGTATTCAATATCAATCTTTACAATTTTGGGCAAAGGATTAACAGGCGTCTCAATGACTATATATAAAAAGGTTCTATTATTTTCTTCTATACAATAATCTGTAGAGAAATTATAAAAAATCTCAAAAGCCTATTAATCATTGATTGTGAATAGATTGTTAAAGTACTGCCGCTAGGTAAAGTGTTCACGTATAATCAAATCACATTTTCAAATTTCCGTTCGGAGATCAGCAACAGTAGTACTTTGATAATAAATGTATAAACAGTACCGGGTTAAAAGTCCAGATTTCATCGGTTTCCATCCACCATAGCATAATTCGCCTCTTCAATCTTATTTTTGTCCGTCAGTCGAAGATGTCGCAGTCGGGAGATGGCCTCCACACACCGGGTTATCTCTCCTGGAGGAAGCTACAGCTAAGCCGGGCGAAACTGAAAGCATCGAGCAAGACGTCCGCCCTACTTTCTGGTTTTGCCATGGTATGTATACAAATATGTATCTCTTCCTTTCTATGTACTCTGTGAATGCAGAGAACTATATACAGAAAACCGATATAAACAGAAAACATGTAACGACTGAAACGTATTACCCTAGGTAACTAGCTAACTATTAATCCTTGTCCAAACAGGCTCTTAAATTTCGCTACAATTACTACTGTTCCAATGACTTTAACAATTTTATCGTCTCTCTAATATTTAAAACAAACTATTAGAGAAGTTATCGGAATGTAATTAAATTAAATGCAAATTCTGTAGGATTAAAATACTTTGAACTACAAGAGATTAAGCAGACCTAGGTAGTTTTGTCATAAAATGTATATTTATTTTTTGTTTATTCATGACTACTTCAGAAGTTTTCTTTTTCAATTTCAATAAAATTGTTGTTAAGGTACTTTAACGGAATCATTTTTATCACAGGTCGCCATGGTGGAAGTTCAGCTAAACTCGGACACGAAGGTCCCATCCGAGATGCTGATCGCGTTTGCCGTGTGCACGACACTGCTGGTAGCGGTACACATGCTGGCACTGATGATATCGACGTGTATACTGCCAAACATAGAGGCCGTGTGCAATCTTCACAGCATCAGTCTGGTGCACGAGTCTCCCCACGAACGTTTGCACTGGTACATTGAGGTGGCATGGGCATTTTCAACATTGCTGGGATTGCTGTTGTTCCTGCTGGAGATCGCGATACTCTGTTGGGTCAAATTCTACGATTTCTCCCAAGTGGCCGCTTGGTCCGCGTGCATAGTGTTGATACCGGTGTTGATAATATTCCTCGCGTTCGCGATCCACTTCTATCGCAGCCTAGTCGCCCACAAGTACGAGGTGACCGTGTCCGGTATAAGGGAACTGGAGTTACTTAAAGAACAGATCGAATCGACAGACGTCGAGGGTAGAAACGGGGTGAACTTGTTACAGACTGGCGTGGCGCACATGGTATGAACACGTTTGTACAGTGTACGTATTTGTCGATAGTACAGTTACTTTTCAAAAAAAAAAATGTGATATCCTCTCGCGGAGGTACCTAAGTTGTAATAGTGATGAATCTCCGATAACGCGGCTGCTACTCTACCGACATTTGTAAATATTGAAGCAACTGGAACAGAAGAACGGCGCGAATAATCAGTTAATAATTGTCACGGAAATTGTACGGGACGCACTCAAACCCTAATCTTGATGTAACGCGCAAAAGACTCAGTCACTTGTTTCCCGCAGTTCAGAAACTCAGACACGTGTGCAATTTGAAAATGGAACACTTGTTCCATGTGAGAGCGTCGTAATTTCTATTATTGTTTCCCCCTGTTTATCCAATAAAGTGTACAGTTGACGGTAGAGAAATAGAAGTTCCAAGTGAGACAGTGTTTGCTACCATCTAACAGGGGGTAGAAATATTGTACCTGGAAAGAAAGTACGTTTTAATACCTTGAAGGTCAGCCCTAATTATGTTAGCGTTCAATTAAATATAAATTTTGGTAGAAATTTGGTTAATGTTTCATCTTAATTGTAATATTTGTACTAATTTAGAATGTAAATGTAAACCGTGCCTTAATGAGTTAAGACAATTAAAGTACACGCTGATACTGTATCAGTGTGGAGTTTCTTTTATTTTATGAAACTCTTTAGGTACAACCTTTTTTGACCTCCCATTCGTGGTCGAACTTACATTCACTGTTTCACTACCGCCGACTATTCAAGGTTGCCAGAGAGAACCAAGGTTCGATAAAACGCTCTGAAACACATTCCCTTTCTTGCATAGCGACTTAAGTGTACCGGTTACCGATAAGCAGTACGTGTGCTGCATATGTATCGTGTGTTCCGTGACTCGAAGACCGACGGTCGTGAATGGGAATTCATGGTTTGTTGTGTATGCATGACCAAGTCATGTGGAATGTACTTACCTTCGCTGGAGACGTGTCTGTTCCGAGATTCCTTTAGTTTCGTTGTCTCTCGCGTAATAGCCCGATGCTCAAACAGTTTTCCAAACGTTACAGTATATACAGAGGCGCGGAAAAAGAAATCATTTTTACGTGTTTTATGTTACACGATTTACATTGTCTCGTTGCGCTTGTACTTGGTAATCATAATGTCGTCGTTATGAAAATGAAAGAAAAAAGAAACGTATTCATTATGAAACGGCAATTTAGTTATATATAATTTGTATTTAACGCAAACGGACGGTTTACCCGTACATTACGTTCGTATATGAATATATAATAGCGGCGCTTTTGCCTAAATAAATCGTATAAGTAACATTCAACATTTTCTTGTTTACAAAATTGACTTTAATTGGGAACGCATATCCGTAAATACGCGTTTTAGAGGCCTTTTGCATGTACACGATGATAGTTTTTCTTCTTCGTTATTGTCATCGTATGTTTCATGCGTGTATTTGATTGCATCATCTGCGATTAATTTGAGCTGGTAACAAATTTACAATGATCAAATGAGACTTTAAAATAAAAATTGTACTGCCTATTCCTACAGGCGAAGTATAAAAAAGACCTAACGACCAAAGTTTTTTAAAAATAGATCTATATTGTTGTTATTTGTTAATTATGGTGTTAGGTACAATCCTACACTGAGTATATGTTATCATAATGTTGTTTACTCGTGGAATAGGATATGGTGTTGGCTCAAAAGCTGACTGACGCCAATGCATATCTGACATAGTTCCATTTATGAAAGAATCATCCTTCCAGGCGCCATATTGTTTTTGCCCCGTGACTATGTGGTAAAACGTTCCGAGTCCCTCTTTCTTGCCCGTAACAAACTCACCCTCGTATCTATTCCCATTAACTTCAAAATGTAGAATTCAGAATATTATTTGTACGTTATGATTATTAGCCAATTTAAAATATTTTTTATTCGTACATTTAACGAAAATTCCCATGCCATCGTACAGATCATTTTTCCAACAACCTTCATAGTAATCTCCATTGCAATACCATATACGACCATAACCTTGCCGTTTATTTTGACAAAAATTACCCTCGTAATAACTGTTGTCTTCGTACCAATTATATCCGAAACCGTGTTTTTTACCATTCTCCCACTGACCAATGTAACATTTACGAATAATACCAGCATCTAATTGCCCATAAATCTTGCTCAAAGTACCATAACCATGTCTTTTACCATTGAACCAATCACCTTCGTATACAAATCCATTTCTGTGATGTGTTTAACAATTAATTCGAAAAGCTATTTCATAATTCTGGGCATTGAAAAAAGTTATTTATTTTACCACCAACTGTGTCAGTGGTAAAGATTGCGATAATTATTGTACCTGTTCAACTGACTACCCTTTCCCTCCTTTTTATCGTTTCTCCATTCTCCTTTATAATAACCTTTGACAAGAAGTTTATCTGCAGGGTTGAAAATAGCATGCCGCCAACCATTTCTTTTAGCAAGTTCTATTTTACGTTTGATAAATGATATTCGAATTGGCTCTAAAATGGACATTGTAAATTCATTGAGATTTATAAATTTTGTCGTTTCACATCATTCTTGATTAACTTCAGACCAGAAGTTTATACTTAAACCATTACTTTCTTAAAAGTGAATCTGCTCTCAATGATAGAGTCTTTCATGCATCTTAATTTCTATATTGTTGAAATTCATCATTAGCATCAATCATTGAAACGGATTGAAATTTCAACTATGTTCAAATTTACGCGGTATAAATTTGTGCTGCCCTCTACGAAAACGACTCCTTTATTTATATACGTATAATATATTATATATTATACACACCATAGTACGCTATGTATTTTTAACGTGTATAAAAACATTGAAAGGAATAATGTATACAATATTTACAAACATTTTAACTCGTACAGATAAGATCCATTTCTAAATAAAGTAAATGATACTTGTGACATTTCAAACTTTCAATATCAAATATAAATTGTTCAAAGTATTCATTAATACACACACATTTTTAAAAACTCCTCTAATAGATGTTTCTAGAAATCATACTAATAAATAATAAGGGAATTAATACATTTTAGTATGCTTTTTATATTTCATTTATAAAATTCTAGAATATTTGAATGCATTCAATTGAGCGCAAGTTTGAAGCGCCCCTACAGCAAAGTATTGTCGCATTCTTGAAACTCGATGAGCCTAAACTGTAGTATTTTTTTTAAGTGAAAACTAGAAAAGGATAAATTTTTGCGTAAACGAACTACGTTTCACGAGGAGACGGTTTTATCTATGTCATCGTACCAGTGTCGATAGTATTTCCATGAATTCTACAATTACTATCGAAGACACCGACGAAGAGGTGATTGATTTGGACTCAAGCCAAGACATCACCAACAATGCTGACAATGACCAGAGCGGATGTTTTATCGACAAAAACTCGTTGTCGAACGACATCGCAAGAACAAGTACTACTAGTGACAATGCAAAGGACAACAAGGATGTTTCTACAACTCAAACTTGCAACACAAATACGTCAGAACCATTTATTAAGGTTATGTTTCGAGACGAAAGTATTTCACGGTAAGAAATTATTTTTTCATTTTTATGTTAAATATACATTACAATCGCTAGCTAATTAAAATAATGCTCACTGTTTACTCACAATAGGTCATGAACCTTGTATACTTATATATTTTAATAGAAACAATATAGTTTAATGTCAACTATAATACATGTCTTATATTTACTTTTTAATTAAAATTTCAGACAATATGGTAAACGTATAAAGGAATTTATAGAGGAATTAATTCCTTCTACGACTACATGTCAAGAAACTGATGATGGCTTAACACTAAATCTTTGGGATAATGATTCAGGTTCTATTAACCAGTCTGTTGAACTTACAACGGAAAGTGAAGACAGTCAAGATATAATATGTGACACATTGTTTACAATAGATACACAACCAAAGCTCCAAAATGATCTTGATGTTCCAACATATGGAAAGGTTTGTTAACAATGTTTTAAATTGACAGAATTTAACAAAAGAAAAATATGCAACTAATTATTGTTATGATGTTTACATTGTAGAAATTTGAGAATGTGTTTGAAAACGCTACACCAGAATCAAAATCGAAAACAGACTCAAAGGTTAATCCACCAAAATTAATGTGTTTCAATTGTTTAGAAAATCACAATTTACGTGATTGCCAGAAACCACGTGATCAAGCTGCTATTAATAAAAACAAAAGAAATTTCAATATGAAGGGAGGAAATATGAAAACTCTTAGGTATCATTTAGATGATGACCAAAAATTTGGTCATTTTATTCCTGGCCAATTAAGTAATAATTTGCGTAAAGCACTAGGTCTTAGGGATAATGAATTACCCGTACACATATACAGGTAATTAATTTTTTATTGTTATATATTCTTATTTTCTAATATTATATATTATATTCTTATTATAATTTCATTAAAAAAAAATAAATATCATTGATAAATATTTATAATAAACTTACAAATTAAATCAACGTACAAGAAATAAATTTTTTACAAGGTGTTGTTATTTTCCATGCTTTTTATGTATTGTAATATTTTTGCAGAATGAGAGTGCTTGGATACCCTCCAGGATGGTTAGAGGAAGCTTGCTTACAACACTCTGGTATATCATTATTTAATTCTGATGGTATCGCGGAAGATGATTCTCATGCAGAACCAGGAGAATTTTTTGAATCTGGAGATAGAGATCAATATGATATTAAAAAGATATATGATTTTCCTGGTTTTAATGTACCAGCTCCGCCTGGTACTCGAGATGTAAGCAATCTACAGATAATGACAATTTAATGAGTGAGACTACTGTATTTCCCTAAACCTTATTTGGTGGAAACTTATTACAAATAATAGGAAAATGGACAGTATTGGATATCACCGATGCAGACTGCTCATAGTAAACAAACAATGTTGACGATGCTGAAAGGAAAAAAGGCAGATGACGGCTATAAAAGGAAGAAGTTGAAAACATCTAATAATAGTTCTAATGATAATCCAGTACCAGAGTCAACTGAAATGGAGATAGAAGATGTGGAAGGTATACTACATATAAATTTCTTTACTAATTATGTAAAATATTATTAAATATGTTTGTAATATTGCAAAAGTAGTAAGATTCATTATAAAAAATAATGATATAATATTGCCTTTGTGACTTACATGAATAATAACACTAATCACTAAAAACTTTTCTGTTATCTTAAAATGTGCTTAATACAATGAGATCCTGTTTCTAAATAGATGGTGTAGTAGAGTGTCTACCTGTTAATGGACTTTTTGTACCTCCATTACCACAAGAATGTATCACAAAGCCACCTGAGCCACCTGAGCCACCACTGCCACCATTGCCACCATTGCCACCACTGCCACCAACACAAGGATCGTATGAAGACTTGGATTATCATTCGCAGGATTTACAATCACCGGTATAAAATAAAAAATCATTTTTTTCGAAGCAATTACTTTGTTAATGTGATAAGAATAGTATTTATAAAATAAAAACATTAGTTGCTTAAAATATTGCAGGAAAATAGTGCATCACCGTCATCTCGGGCATATTCGCCGTCACTGTGTGATTTAGAAAATATGAAAAAACGATTACTCGTAGAGCTTCAAGAATCAAGTTCACAGTCAAATTCAGACGACTTGTCAAAAAGTAATTCTGCAGATTCCGCGTCAAAATCAGAAATGCCACCGCCCAGTAATGAAGAAACGACAGAATTACATAGAAATCGCAGAAGTTCGCTGAATTCCAGCCACGGAAGTGTAAAATCGATTGATCTAGGCACACCTATTTTACAAAGCAGTTCTCCGTATAACAAACTACCATCATCTGAAAAGTTTTCTAAAAATATTTGTGACGTGATTAACTTTGAGAATTTACCTGATTCAACAGGTAAGTATGAACAAATGACTGAGGTTTTACAAAAAGTAAGAGTTAAGTTAGCAAACCTTCAACAGGAATGACTGTAAATGTTTAATCGCAGTTGTTGGTATACTTTATAAGTATACATTCATTTTGTACAATAATTCTAAATTATTTGCAGAAGTATAAAGAAGTCAAATGAAGATTCAGTAAAATATTTCTTTTATAATTGAACATCCGTCATTTGTAAATAGAAACATTTACCTTACATATTAAATATATCATAAGATTTTTTTATTATATATTTGTCAAACAAAAGAACATTCAACAAGTCACATTTTTCATAAAAATGTTTTTTGATTCATGTAAATACGAGATTTTTTAATTATAATGGGTAAAATTCATTTTTTAATCGTAGTTAAAACTATAATTAATACAAATCATTGAATACTTCAAGGAGTCAAATTTAGTTTCTTTTCAAATATTTATATA